CTCGTGCATGCAGCTTGACTCACGTGAGTGGTGACTCGGTTCCTCCCTCCCCCTGGAAGTTGACCCACAAAAGTTGAGGACCATAGCTGTAAAGCACTATAAAGTGCTATAAAAATCTAAGTGGTATTACTATGTTTCTAGGTATTTCTATCCAATTTTTGTTCCTGTGGCACTATTAAAGGTAAAGGTTCTCCTTGCACATACATGCTAGTCGTTTCGGGCTCAAGGGGGCGGTGCCCATGTCTGTTACAAAGCCGAAGAGCCAGCGCTGTCCAAAGATGTCTCTGGTCATATGTTCAGCATGACTAAATGCCAAAGGCGCACAGAACACGTGTTATCTTCCCACCAAAGTGGTCCCTATTTTTCTACTTGCATTTTTTTTACGTGCTTTTGAACTGCTAGGTTGGCGGAAGCTGGGACAAGTAACGGGAGCTCACTCCGTTAACGCGGCGCTAGGGATTTGAACTGCCAAACAGCCGACCTTTCTGATCAACAAGATCAGCATCTTAGCTACTGAGCCACCACGTCCCTATATAGAGGCATTATTGGTAGGTTGCAAATTCCGAGTCATGGAGAGCAACTACGTGGTGGAGGTACGTCTGTTCCCCTATTGCTTTCTTGGAACGGCTCTTTTTTCTCCCACTTGGTGCCCACCAGATGTTTTGCAACTGCAACCCTCCCGAATTCTGCAACCACATCATGGCCTGTGAACTAAATGTTCCCAAAGAAGCCACAAAAGCTAAATCAAGGACAAGTCCAGACTTGCCTTTCCGCCTTGATAAGGAAGCTTTGAACCATCATTGCTGGTCCACACCATTTACTAACACCCCTTTCCCGTTCTTATGATTCTGAAACCCACAAATAATAGGAATAGCAATAGCAGGTTGATATTCTGCTTCACAGTGCTTTTACAGCCCTCTCTAAGTGGTTTACAAAGTCAGCATATTGCCCCCAACAATCTGGGTCCTCGTTTCACTGACCTCGGAAGGATGGAAGGCTGAGTCATCCTTGAGCCGGAGAGAGTCGAACTGTTGGCAGTCAGCAGAAATAGCGTATAATACTGCATGCTAATTAACCCCTGGGTCGCCACGGTTCTCTGGGTTAATGTTGGTTGCTTTGTTTCTTGTTTCTTTTCGCTTAAAAAATATCACACTTTTGTCTCTCCAGTAATGTCACCGTGTCATCAGAAAAGCTTTGTGGTCCTTGACGCCCTGATTGGTTTCTTAAATTTATCTCCAAAAAAAAAAAAGAGTCCTTAATTTTAAGGGTTTGTTCATATTAATGGGAAAAGTGGTGAGGGAACTACTACTGGGCGCACTACTGCCCCAAGTTGCTTATTTGATGGCATGGGAACTCAAGAGTTTGCTTCTGTCCTTATCTTGTCACAGAAATGAGCCACCAAGTGGATGCCAAGTTCGTAATGATCAATCTAGGGTCTACTTAGTAGCGTTTGCTGGGGGCAAGAGGAGAACAGATCAAATGGATGTGACAAGGGTCGTTGTGCAAAAGTTACAACTCAGATACGTGCACCCGATGTACCCCTGGTACACAGTGGCAGTGTTTGCGTGACGTTTCACTGCATGGGATTCACCGCATAACCTAAGAATCATTGTAGTTTGCGCTGGATTCTGTCGGGTCTTCCCACAGTACCTGATGACCTCCAGATGTATTGGACCAATCTTTGCACATCTGGAGGGGCATTAAGCAGGGGAAGGCTGCCAGAACTATAGGTTAGTTTTTGCAGCAGAAGTTCAAATCCAGAAAGCTCACACAGATGACTGATTCAGCAGGATTCATTAACTTCTTTGTGTACATAATAACGTGAAGTAAAGTTTACAATACCAATAGTGGATTCTTCCAACGTAACACAAGCAAAACACAAGCAGCAGCTTCAGAGCTCAGAGCAGAGACTAGAGCCACACCCAGGTGAATCTAGTTTCACTTTCCAATTCAGCTCCCATTGGCTGGTCTGTGGCCATGCCTATACATTGGCTGACTTTGTTAATAAGCTCTATTCCATTCATGAATATACTCTGACACTATATACCAGTGGTGGCTAACTTTCCTGTGCCAAAAATTGTGTGCGCGCTTGCGCGCTCATGTGCCAGCAGCCAGAAGGCAATGTGCGCCCTCCCACTGCGCATGTGCACGCAATCCCCCACCCCCTTACCTACACTGCACCTCCCAGCTGATTTTCAGCCTGTTTGAGGCCTTTTTCGGCCTCCCAGGCTTGAGGAAAGCCTCTGCAGCCTGAAAAATAGGCCTGTTTCATCACAGGAAGTGATGAAACGGGCCTATTTTTCAGGCTGCAGAGGCTTTCCTCAAGGCTGGGAGGCTGAAAAAGGCCTCAAACCAGCTGAAAATCAGCTTGGAGACACGCGCATGTGCAGTGAGGTAAGTTTGCCTGCGGCTCGCGTGCTGGCGCAAAGGGCTCTGCATGCCACCTGTGGCAAGCGTGCCATAGGTTCGCCATCATGGCTATATACTACTAAAACCCTTGTGTATCCACTGATTGTAACCAGGGTAGATGAAAATTGATGGTTTTTTTTAAAAAAAGCAAAAGAATAGATTTTTAAAAAATTTAAATTGGATTTTTAAAAAAAAAAATTTCCAAAAAAAAATTGGTGGTGTAGGGCTTCCTGCCTAAGCAGGGGGCTGGACTAGAAGACCTCCAAGGTCCCTTCCAACTCTGCTATTCTATTCTATTCTATTCTATTCTATTCTATTCTATTCTATTCTACCCTACCTGCTTTTTTGCCTAGCTGCAATCATTCCGTTCCTCTGTTTAAATAAGGAAATATCCCTGAAACAATGACCTAGTAGGTCGCAGGTTGTCTAGTTTGAATTAGACAATCAAACTTCTAACACTTCCAAGTGTGCAAGCAAGCAAACATGATAATCTTACTAGATTTTGTCTTCAGTGTTACCACATTGTCCTCGTTTTAATGAGCCTTTGCGTCAGTGGGGAGCTGATAATTAATAGTTTGGAGGAAAAATATTAAAGCTTTCTCTTGTTTTGGTCCACTGAAGCTGGACTTTCCTTTCAGGAAGAAAGTAGACTGTTCAGTCCATGCCTGACCGACTTTATTAATGATCTCAAGTGGATGTGGCACTAATGCAAAAATTCAGCTGATGCAATTTATATAACTTCTTTTTGCTGCTGTATAAAATTTTATTTTTTAACCCTAAAAACATGCCATGTTCCCCTTAGAATTTACAAATATAAATTCCTTGATACAGAAATTTACACTCTGCCAAAATGGTCCTATGCATTGCTTGAAAAGTTTGTACTTATTTTAAATTTCTTGTTGCTCTCTATATATATTTGTGGCTTTTATTTATCTACTAACAGCGTTTATTGGCTGCCCCCATGTGGCCAGTTTAAGGCAGTGTACATCAGCAAACATACAGAATATCTTTATAATTAAAACCAATGAAAACACATTACCAAAACAATAAACAAGCACAGAATGAGATGAGCTAGTCTAATCCCTTTGAAAATAAGAACATTTTAAGAGCCATCCTGAGCGGAAGGAATCACAAGGAATGATTCCTTAATTATGGGGCTGTCGACATAAAACCCCATCTCTTTTCTTATTACAGGAAAGGCACTGATATCAGAAATGAATTTTCTTTCATTAGGACCAGAAAAGCAAAATCATATTCAGTAAGTCAGTCCCCAGTAAGTCCACATGCATAGTATTCTGGTCTGTAAAAACATGTTTGCATCATTGAAAATGGAATAGGAATAATTTCAATAATATAATTAGCAATAATGAATTTTCTTGAGTCTATTGATCTATTTGAGCTTACCGAAATATTTATCAGACTTATATAAACTGTCCAATTCCAGAGGCACTAAAAGTTTTTTGTAGCTTCAAATATATTTTTTTAGAAGCAAAGTATGACCGCAATTGACCCCAAAATTTCTGTTGCTGAACAAGACGGGATATGTGGATTTTGCCCCGTTTTTCAGCCTTTCTTGTTATTAAATGCATCACTGCAGTTTAGTTAGGAACATGGCTGTTAAGTGAACCTGGATTTTCACTAACTTTGTCAGTGACCTTGGGCCAACTGTCGTAAATAGGAGTCAGTTGCTGCAACGGGATGCTGCAATGGTCGTAAGTGTGAAATATAGTCACGTATTTTTTCCATTGCCGTTTTAACTTTGAATGGTCACTAAATGAACTGGTGTAAGTCAAGGAGTGTGTCCTTTTGTCTAATGGCAACAAGATAGAAATCAGGATCAAAGGCCTCAATGGAGGTGGGGCAGAGACCAGATTGCAGCCTCAGTTGCATATTGCATCCTGATGCAAATTCTGTAATCTGGGTTTGTGTGATGATTGTCAACTCATAAAACATTTTCTGTGCCCCGTTTTATAATTGCCAACAGAAAGGTGGGGGGAAGGGCTTTGGAAGAGCAGTGCAGCAGTTTGAAATCGAAAGCGCATTCTGTTCATATTTTGCAGAGATTGTAACTAGGCGACTGAAGTTTCTGCTGTGGACAATCTCTAATTGGAGAACATGATTGATGACTCTTGGCTATGGACGTGTTTTGTTGGAGAATATGAATTATGATACACCCAGAGGGGTGGGGGAAAACCAAGAGTCAAGGGTGACAGTGAATTACGTGTCTCAGAATCGGCTACATACAGATCATGCCAATATGTCGCTCCTAATAAATTCTTTGAAGTTTTTTGAAGATTGGCTCAAGGCTCGGGATTTAATTCGGGCAATCGCTGGAATCCTGAAGCGACTTCATGACAGATATACTGTGGCTTCTAACAGTTGCTTATGCATCCCATAGACCAGGGGTCCCCAAACTTGGCAACTTTTAAGACTTGTGGACTATGCTGGCTGGAGAATTCTGGGAGTTGAAGTCCACAAGTCTTAAAAGTTACCAAGTTTGGAAACCTCTGCCGTAGACCTTCCTCCTGCCACGCATATTCTGATGGTTGATGGATGACATATATTCTAACCTTACCTAATTCATCCTAGATCAGAGATTGGTGGATTCAGACGGCCTACTTGGAGAACCACCTTCCCCTGGTTGTTCACTCAAGCCCAGCTGTCATCCTGCCCAAGCAGGATTTCAACGACTGGAGAGGACAATTGAGGTGAGACATTTGATATTGGGTTAAAAAAAAATGGCTTGGGTCAAGAAGTGGAAGTGTCATGGCTGTTGGAGGAAGAATCAGGTCTTTGGGAAGAAAAGGGAATGACGGAAGGCAGGGATTGAATTGATACATGGGATTCAATCATGGTTTAACCCGGGGTGGCTAACCTTTTGGGGCTCCCGTGCTGAAAATTGCGTGCGCTCCCTCTCGCGCTCGTGTGCCAGCACACAGAAGGCAACGCGCCCTGCCCCCCCCCCCCCCGCGCATGCATGCACAACACCCCCCGCATCCCGTTACCTGCATTGCACATGCGCACGCCTCCCGGCTGATTTTCAGCCTCCCTGAGGCTCGAGGGAAGCCTCTTCAGCCTCAGGAGGTCAAAAAACGGGCCTTCCGAAAATACCGGAAGTACCCATTTTCAGCCTCCGGAGGGCCTCTGGAGCCCAGGGGAGGCCGTTTTTGCCCTCCTGGGGTCTCGAAGAACGCCTCTGCAGCCTTTGGAGGACAAAAAAAAACAGGCCCATTTCGGCACTTCTGGTATTTCCCTCGAGCCTTAGGGAGGCGGAAAACTGGCTCAAACGGGCCGAAAATCGGCTGGGAGGTGCACGCATGCGCAGTGCAGGTAAGTTTGTCTGGGGCTCGCGTGCCTGCACAAATGGCTCCGGGTGCCACAGGTTCGTCATCACCCGTTTAACCATTATCCCAAAGGTGCTTTTTCAAGAGGCAACTGGATTTTCTTGTTTTTGTTTGAAGACATTTCACTTCTCATCCAGGAAGCTTCTTCAGCTCTGACTGGATGGTGGGGAATGGAAAGATTTATATTCCTTGCAGACAGCTGGTCATTTGCATTCTTTTCGAGAGTCCTTGAGGCCACCTGGAGGTTTATCCCCCTCTGTTGAGAGAGAACATGTTCAATTTCAACATAGTTGGCCCCTTTGACCCCTCTTTCAAACTAGCGGTCCTCTCTGTCCAAAATGTGGAGTTTTTTTATCTTCAAAATAAACCTCAGGTAGCCTCAAGGACTCTCGAAAAGAATGCAAATGACCAGCTGTCCACAAAGAGTATAAATCCTTCAATTTCCCACCATCCAGTCAAGAGAAGCTGAAGAAGCTTCTTGGATGAGAAGTGAAATGTCTTCAAAGAAAAACCAGGAAGTTCAGTGGCATCTTGAAAAAAAGTTTGGCTTGTTCTATTTGGATGACTGAGAATCTCCATAGATGTTTAATCAATGGTTTAACCAATGTTTTTGGGGTAAACCATAATTTGCTAGATTCTTTCAACATGCCGAACATAAACCATGTTTCACATATCTCTGCGCTGGGGCTTTCAGAATATATTATCCCACAAACAAAATATGGGACATTTTGGAATGCATTGACCTATTTTTAAGATCTTCAGGATCGCCTTATTTTATGGTAGGGGCTCGGTTGTGTAACACGACTTGGAATGTGGTTTAGCAAATTGGGTGAGCTAGCCAATTAGGTTTCCAAACTATGGTTGATGGTTCAGCATGTGACAAAAACTTAGCCAGTTGTGGCTCCCATCAGCCCCTTTGCAGCGTGTCAACATCTCAAGATAAGGCTGTGAATTTTTTTTTAAATTGAGCTGGTTTCAAGAATACAAATGGGGAGATTCTTGCTCTATCCCATCATTAAAATGAAAAGTGATCAAAGAATGGCCTGAGAAAAATGTCCATAAGTCCCCCAGTGACATCAAGACATCTGTAGAGCGGAATGTATTAAGAGTTTGCAGCAATCCAACCAGCACACAAGTAAATAAATCAGCAGGATTCATCTATAGAAAAAAACTTGTTCAAATACAATAATATAAAACATGATGCAAGTATACAATATCCATGCAGCTCTTGCAATGTGATAGCAAGTACAAGGACAAGAAGCAGAAGCAACTAGAACCATCAGAACTCAGAAATCACAGAAGCTCTATATTTATACAGACCAGTTACTCCTAAGCCATGAGCCGGTTGACATAGCTCACAGCAGGTGGTGTTTCTTAGTCATCAAACAGTTCCCATTGGCTGACTTCTTATGGCTATCCCAGATCACGATTTCTTACATGCTGACAGAATGGGACAATTTGCCACAGCCAACTGAATAGAGTAGAGTAGAGTAGAGTAGAGTAGAGTAGAGTAGAGTGGAACAGGAATAGAACACAACACAACAGAATGGAATGGAATCATAGAGTAGGGTAGGTTAGGATAGGATAGGATAAGAATAAGGATAGGATAGGATAGGATAAGAACAGAACAGAACAGAACAAGAGAATAGAATAGTAGTGTTGGAAGAGACCTTGTAGGTGATCTAGTCCAACCCCCCGCCCAAGCAGGAGACCCTGCACCATTTCTGACAGGTGGGAGTCTAGTCTCTTCTTGAAAGTCTCCAGTGATGGCACTCCCACAACTTCTGAAGGGAAACTGTTCCATTGCTTGATTGTTCTCACAGTCAGAAAACTCAGTACAGGACAACTCGCCACGGCCAAGTCACCGTGAGACAACTCGCTGCAGGACAATTTAACAATTCTATTTAATTATTTAATTTTTTAAACATTTTTGTCATTCACATATTCTGCCCTCCTTTTTGCACCCTTTCTTTCATTATTCCATTCTGCCATTTCTTTAATACCAGTGGAACTCTTGTCCTGCAGTGAGTCGTCCGTGTTGAGTTGGTCGCGGTGAGTTGGTTGTAACGCAAGTTGTCCTGCGGCAAGTTGGCCGTGGCGAGTGGTCACAGACCCCTATAGAGGCCCTCTGAGGTCCTCAAAGGATGGGGCTGAAGCCCCAACCCTTAAAACTGAGGTCCTCGTTATTAGTGCAATGCACTAATCCAGACTGAAGGCTGAACCGGCACTGGCAAATCACCAGCAGGAATCACAACAGAAACAATAGGTCTGTAGTGTACACTGAACACAAATTGCTTTGAAGCTGGGAGCATTGCTTGAAGAGCTCCTTATCCAAAGACACATCGAGCTGAGTCTGGTGTAAAATGAAGTGTAATTAAAACTTGCGTGGGTGGCCAGTCAAACAGAGATCACTTCGTATAAGTACACCTCTGGCTGGTAGCTGGTGAAAAGGGGTGTGGCTTAATGAATATCCTTAACCAGATTGTTTGAAAGGAACAAGTGTGGGGGTATAGCTCAGCGGTAGAGCATTTGACTGCAGATCAAGAGGTCCCTGGTTCAAGTCCGGGTGCCCCCTTATTTTAGTGGGGGGGGGAGGAAAAGAGCGTTTAACTTCTAGGTCATCGACTACCTTCCCAACCTTTTGGGCACTATCCCAAAGGTGCTTTTCTCAGGAGGCAACTGGACTTTCTGGTTTTTTTTTTCTTTGTAGACGTTTCAGTTCTCATCCAAGAAGCTTCGTCAGCTTTATACTCCTTGCAGACAGCTGGTCATTTGAATCTTTTTAGAGCAGGGGTGTCATTAAAGTGGATTTCATTGAGGGCCGCATCATGGTTGTGTTTGATCTTGAGGGGCTGGGATGGGGGGGGTGGCTAGGGTAGCTGTGCTCAATGTCACTCAAGTCAGGGGTGCCTGTAGTGGCCCAAGTGCTCTGCCAACGAAAATGGGTTTCCGAGCTCCGTTTTTGGCTGCGACCCTCTGACAGCGAAAACGGAGCTCGGGAGGGCCACATGCAGCCCTCCCGAGCTCCGTTTTCACTGGTAGAGGCACTGCGGGACGGTCCTTCGCTGTTTCCAGAGTGGCCCCCATGGGCCAGATCTAAGCACCCCCGTGGGCCGAATCTGGCCGCCGGGCTTTGAGTTTGACACCTGTGTTTTAGAGGGTGGTTGAAGCACCTTTGGGACAACCATGACCTGGATGACTAAGCATCTCTACAGGCTTTTAGCTATACAATTTGGGATGAACACCCTTTGAATGGTGTGGGAGCAGGAATGGATTTCCAGAGGAAAATAGCAAACTGCAGGAACCAGCAGCACTACTTGAGTGACATTGAGGACACAGATAAACCTCCAAGTGGCCTCAGCGACTCTCTACAAAGAATGCAAATGACCAGCTGTCTAAAAGGAGTATAAATCCTTCCATTCCCCACCATCCAGTTAGAGCTGAAGAAGCTTCTTGGATGAGAAGCGAAACATCTTCAAAAGAAAAAAAAAACCAAGAAAGTCCAGTTGCCTCCTGAAAAAAGCACCTTTGGGACAACCATGACCTGGATGAGGGAGAATCTCTACAGGCCTTTGGGGCACTAGGGACCAGTTCTATGGAGAGAGGTTTTTCCATGGACTGGATGGGGCGTGGTTTTGCATGCTGCCTGCATCCCATGGATGGGGCTTTGCTTGTTTGGGTGTCCTGGTTTTTGGCATGCCGTGGCCCGGTGCCAGTCTACAGATCCCAGGGGTGGTTGTGGTTAGCCGGCAGCAGGTGCGGACGGCTGAGGAGACCGAGGACTCAGATGAGGGGCCAGGACCACTAGGGAGTGAACTGCTGCCTTCAGAGATTGTGGGGGCTGGCAGCAGCGATGAGGAGGTTCCCGAGGAGCCTGTGCCAAGTGCGCGTGCGCGCAGGATTGCTCACAGGCAAGAGCAACTACAACAGCATGGGCGACTTGGGAGTAAGGCTGCAAGGTAATGGCCCCTCCTTCAAGCAGATAAAAGCCAGGTGTGAAACGAACATTCTTTGCAGAAGGCAAAGACGTTTTGAAACTCCAGCCTCGTGGACATTCCAGTATCCTGAGTTTGTATTTAAAGATTCTTGTATTGCAAATTATTTCTTGCCTGTTATCTTTTGTCTGTCTCGCACAGTTTGGCAAGGCTTGTGCTTATTACGGCTAACCATTTTGCAGAAGCATTAAGAGGTTTCTGTTCCTTTTGGATTGTATTTGATTTGTTGGGAAAGGGTGTGGGTCAGAACAGGGGTTGGGGACCCCCTGTTCTATGCCAACAAAACAAGTGGGAAATAAATATTGAGACAGTTCCCCAAGACTAAGAGTTAAGGTCTTAATTTGTCATTCTTCATTATGGGGAGGTACA